AACCACATGATTATCTCAATAGATGCAGAGAAGGCCTTCAACAAAATTCAACAGCCCTTTATGCTAAAAGCTCTCAATAAACTAGGTATTGACGGAAGATATCCCAAAATAATAAAAGCTATTTACAACAAACTTACATCCAATATCATACTGAATGGGCAAAAACTGGAAGCATTCCCTTTGAAATCTGGCACTAGACAAGGATGCCCTCTCTCACCACTCCTATTCAATATAGTATTGGAAGTTCTAGCCAGAGCAATCAGGCAAGAAAAAGAAATAAAGAGTATTCAACTAGGAAACGAGGAAGTCAAATTGTCTCTATTTGCAGATGACATGATTGTGTGTTTAGAAGACCTCATCATCTCAGCCCAAAATCTCCTTAAACTGATAAGCAACTTCTGCAAAGTCTCAGGATACAAAATCAATGTGCAAAAATCACAAGCATTCATATACATTCATAACGGACTTAAAGAGAGGCAAATCAAGAATGAACTGCCATTCACAATTGCTACAAAGAGAATAAAATACCTAGGAATACAACTAACAAAGGATGTAGAGGACCTCTTCACGGAGAACTACACACCACACTGCTCAAGGAAATAAGAGAGGACACAAACAAATGGGAAAACATTCCATGCTCATAGTTAGGAAAAATCAGTATTGTGAAAATGGCCATAGTGCCCAAAGTAATTTATAGGTTCAATGCTATCCCCATCAAGCTACCTATGACCCTCTTCACAGAACTGGAAAAAAACACCTTAAACTTCATATGGAACCAAAAGAGAGCTTGCATACCCAAGTCAATTCTAAGCAAAAAGAACAAGGCTGCAGGCATCATGATACCTGACTTCAAACTATACTACAAGGCTACAGTAATCAAAATAGCATGGTACTGGTACTGAAATAGAGATCTATACCAGTGGAAGAGAACAGAGGCCTTAGAGGCAATGCCACACATCTACAACCATCTGATCTTTGATAAACCTGATGAAAAAAAGCAATGGGGAAAGGATTCCCTGTTTAAAAAATGGTGTTGGGAAATCTGGCTAGCTGTGTGCAGAAAGCAGAAACTGGACCCCTTTCTGACACCTTAACTAAAGTTAACTCCGGGTGGATTAAAGACTTAAACATAAGGCCTAATACCATAGAAACCCCAGAGAAAAACCTAGGCAAAATCTTTCAGGACATAGGCATAGGCAAGGACTTCATGACTAAAACACCAAAAGCATTGGCAACAAAAGCTCAAATTGACAAATGGGATCTAATTAAACTCCAGAGCTTCTGTACAGCAAAAGAAACAATCATTAGAGTGAACCGGCAACCAACAGAATGGGGAAAAACTTTTGCAAACTACCCATCTAACAAAGGGCTAATATCCATAATCTACAAAGAACTAAAACAGATTTATAAGAAAAAAACAAACAAACCCATTCAAAATTGAGCAAAGGATATGTACAGACAATTTCATAAGAAGACATTTGTGAGACCTAGAAACCTAAGAAAAAATGCTCATCATCACTGGTCGTTAGAGAAATGAAAATCAAAACCGCATTGAGATACCATCTCATGCCAGTTAGAATGGCAATCATTAAAAAACCTGGAGACAACAGATGCTGGAGAGGATGTGGAGAAATAGGAACAGTTTTACACTGTTGGTGGGAGTGTAAATTAGTTCAACTGTTGTGGAAGACAGTGTGGTGATTCCTCAAGGATCTAGAAATAGAAACTTCATTTGATCCAGCAATCCCATTACTGGGTATATATCCAAAGAATTATAAATCATTCTATTATAAAGACACATGCACACGTATGTTCATTGTGGCACTGTTTACAATAACAAAGACCTGGAACCAACCAAAATGCCCATCAACAATAGACTGGACAACAAAAATGTGGCACATATACACTACGGAATACTATGCAGCCATAAGAAACGATGTGTTCATGTCCTTTGTAGGGACATGGATGAAACTGGAAACCATCATTCTCAGCATTCTGACACAAAAACAGAAAATCAGACACTGCATATTTTCACTCATAGGCGGGTGTTGAACAATGAGAACATGTGGACACAGAGAGGAGAGCATCACACACTGGGGTCTGTTATGGGGGAATTGGGGAGGGACAGCAAAGGGTACGGAGGTTGAGGAGGGATAACATGGGGAGAAATGCCAGATATAGGTGATGGGGGGATGGAGGCAGTAAACTACATTGTCATGTATGTACCTATGCAACAATCCTGCATGTTTTGCACATGTACCCCAGAACTTAAAGTGCAATAAAATACATTTTAAAAAAAAGAAAAAATAATCTCTTACATGTATTCAACAACAGTTGACGCCACTTCAAAATCACCAAGTAGAAAACAAACAAACTGTTGTGAATGTGTTTAAGGTATCTTCTACAAATTTACCGTTTTTTTTTTTTTTTTTTTCATCTTAATATAAGCAAAGATTTCTGCCTCTATTACCTAAACTTTGGCTTTCCAAGTTGTTTGGCCATTACTGGCTAAAGTGAAAGTCAACGTTATTCAAAGAAAAAAAATGCTTTCTCAGTCAACCTTCCAATATGACTATTTTTCATAGAGGTCGATCGTGTGTGCCAAGTTAGAGGTCTGCAGTCTAAAGGGATTTTATGTTATTTTCACTGCTTTTTTGGTCTTAGACCACTTTGAGTATAACCAAAAAGTTAAGCAATTTATAGATTCTTTTTCCTACCATCTGACATTCTCTGACTTGGAATACACTTACAACATTTCAACTCATCTTTCTCACTACTTCTCTCCACCTCCATAGCCACAGTTCACTTCTGTCTGTCTTGGGTTTAAAAGACATTTCTTCAGAGACATCTTTCCTGATGAGCCTTTTTGAAGTAAAGCCCTCTCTGGTTTTAAACTCTCATTGTCTTATTGCTCATCATAAATTACCTTATTTCCATTAGCATATTTAATATAAATGGTAACACTGTATTTCTTCATTTGATTATTGTCTGTTACAAGCACTGACCGCAAGCATCGTGATAGCAGGGGCCATGTCTCTCTTTGGTCACTGCAATATCCCAAACGCTTAGCACCATGTCAGACATATTCTAGATCAGTGCAATTTAATAGAAATTTAATCTGAGCCATATATGTAATTTTAAATCTTCAGGAAGCCACATTAAAAAAAGCAAAAAGAAACAGGTAAACCTAATTTTAATATTTTTTTAATTTAATCTATAACATAATCTAATATTATTTCAACATGTATTCAAAATAAAAAGATTATTATTGAGTTAGTAGTTGACTTTTTCTTCTTACCAAGTATTAACAATCAGTATTTATTTTACACTTACAGAACATCTCTTTCTGGAATAACCACTTTTCAAGTGATTAGTAGTCATGTGTGGCTAGCAGCTATCATGTTAGACAGCACAATTCTAGACTCTCAATAAATCTGAATTTATTAATGTGAGCGTGTGGTTGGTGCCCCATCTAGGTCCCATCAGAATCCTATCCTTTCTGTGCGTTTGTCCCCAGCTCTCGTGTGTTTTGTTGCTAACAGCTCGTACCTGCATCCTTCAGAGCATTGCCCTTAGAAACCAGAGTTGCCATCCTGTACAAAGAACCAGAAATCTCTAAGATTTTATGTACCCCCTCCACAATCAATAGGCAACTCAGATAGCCTATGGAGGACTGATGTGGAAATACCAAGCTCTTTTGCCTCCATGCAAGGAAAATTCTGAGGTCTATTTATACTTTAGTGCTCCTTGGAGGATTGGACTGAGTGTGGGACTCGGCCTGAAACTGCCTTTTTATTTGGCTTCTTCTCCTAGCCTATCCAGACTTCTCTGCTGCCTTGCTGATTTAAGACATTTTCTTAATAAAGAGCTTGCTCTTAAATCCTTGGTTCAGAATATGCCTCTGGAAAAACTCAGGGTGCTCAAATTGTGGGATGTTCCTAATGCATAGTCGTTTTTGTTGCAGTGGCTTAAGTAAGAGCATGAGTGGATTCTGTGTGCATCCTGAGTGATTATAAAGGCCACTCTGTCTCCCCTTATCTCAGATATTTCATACTCCTAGTAAACATTCAAACATACCAAAAAGAAGGTAAAAATATGTTTTTTGTCCCTTTCTTCTCTTCTATAGTAAGTGCTGTAAATTCTCTTGTGCATTCCTGAATAAATTTCTTATGCAAATTCAGCATATATGTAAAACATGTCATTATATTTATAAAATATGCTTCTTAAATTTTATCAAAATTAGATTAGAAATATTCTTCTGTTCATTGCTTTTCCATTAATATTTTCAAATTTTATAAAATATTTATTTTTATATTTTAACATATGAAACATACTTTTTACCCATTTACCTTTATGAATGCATCCCAATTTATTTTAGTACCTGCATATATTTAAATCCCTTTTCTTCTTTGTATGTGCTAGCTGTTAATTTGCTTTTAGTCCTTGATACAGACTCAAAATCTTTAGGTCTCTGGCATTCATATGTTATTCTGTTCTATTCATATATGTTCTTCTTGCCAGCTGATTTTGAACAAATACACTCAAATGGAAAGTAATTACAAATGTGAGTCTAAACATACATAAAGGTATAGGTTCTTAATCTGGGCTCCAGTGAGATCCTGACCTTGAATGCATGTGTTAGTGTACACATGTATATAATTCTGGGAAGAAGGATTGAGAATTTTCATTAGAATCTCAGCGATGTCTGTGGCATTTGTGTTAGGATTTAGTGTACAAATATAAATTGTGTGTTGTATTTTGTATGAATCTCTTGCAGATTTATCTTACTTACCTCTCCTCATTTGATTAGCATTTAATTAATTAGCAGCTTCTCATTTAGCTTCCTGGTCCTTCAGAGGCTTGGATCCAGCCTCACCCACATTTACATCCCTGCTACCAAGTTCAACAGTATAGTCATTAATAGTTTCTTGAAAGATGTCCATGTTTTCTTTTTTGTATTTATGAATTCTCAGTGGAACAAATTTAATTTTCTTCTGCCTCTGCCTTTTACTCTCTTTTGATTTGCTCTTGGGGAATTTAAGGACAAAAGATCCTGTTCTGTAGACATGGAACATAAATCATTTTGGACCAACTGTACAACCTGAAGGCATTGAGCAGAAGACGCAAACATCTACTCACGTGTCCTCATAGGATGTGTTTTAGCTGCCTAGAGTTCTAGCATTATCACCTCTACTCTCAGTCAAGAATTCTAGGCACACGTCTTTTTTTTCTGCCTCCTCAATCACGAATATTCTCTTGTTTAGAATTCTGAATTAATATGGAAGTGCTTTATGGAGTGAGTAGCCAAGACATTTTTTTTCTTTTATTAATGAAGTATCTTGTTTTTGTTCCCGACGTACTGATAGGTGACATGATGCCCTGTGGTGGCTTAGCTGGCCCTGGCAGTGACTGCTGATGGTGCTTGATGATCATGTCAGTAAACAGTGTGTTCTGCCATGGCTGTTCAACAAAGTGCCACCTTAAATTGGACAAATTGGCAGGGGAACCTCAGTGTGTAAGAAAAAGACAGAGACCGTAAAGACAGAATCATGCTAAGCACTGTAACACTTTCCAGCCCAGCCTAATTCATGCAGTCTGCTTATCTCAATATAGATGTTTTGGAATACAAAAGGTTATAGGTATAGGAAAGTTTGGGGTCATTTGACTGAATATATCATGCTTTATTCTCTTTTTACATGAAGTCTGTTCATTTAATGAAAATAGCCATACGACCTTAAGTCAACTTTTCTTCTCCTCTGAATTCTAGCTTTAGTCTTTAAAAAAGAAGTTGGCTTACAAACATATGAAAAAACGCTCTCATCACTGGTCATTAGAGAAATGCAAATCAAAACCACATGGAGATATCATCTCATACCAGTTAGAATGGAGATCATTAAAAAATCTGGAGACAACAGCTGCTGGAGAGGATGTGGAGAAATAGGAACACTTATATGCTGTTGATGGGAGTGTAAATTAGTTCAACCATTGTGGAATACAGTGTGGCAATTCCTCAAGGACCTATAAATAGAAATTCCATTTGACCCAGCAATCCCATTACTGGGTATGTACCCAAAGGACTATAAATCATTCTGTTATAAAGACACATGCACACGTATGTTCATTGTGGCACTGTTTACAATAGCAAAGACCTGGAAAAAACCCAAATGCTCATCACTGATAGACTGGACAAAGAAAATGTGGCACATATACACCATGGAATACTATGCAGCTAAAAAAAACAATGAGTTCATGTCCTTTGTAGGGACATGGATGAATGTGGAACCCATCATTCTCAGCAAACTGACACAAGAACAGAAAATCAAAAACCACATGTTCTTACTCATAGGCAGGTGTTGAGCAATGAGAGCCTGTGGACACAGAGAGGAGAGCGTCACACACTGGGGTCCATTGGGAGGCTAGGGGAGGGACAGTGGGAGGGAGGGTGGGGAGGGATTATGTGGGGAGAAATATCAGATATACGTGATGGGGGGGGAATGGAGGTTGCAAACCACCTTACCATGAATGTACCTCCTTTCTTTTATGTTTACAGACAGTGAAAGAATGATTGAGCTAGTGATGAATGATCACACTGTAGTGACAGTCATGAAGCCCCTTAATCTTTTCAGCACCACATCCCTTTTTGAATATGGATGTGTCTAATTCCATAATGAGAAGGTGTAATGAGTGAACATCCTGATTTTTTTTTTCTGTCACTGGACCCAATTACTTAATCTTTTCCATTCTTCCCATTCCTTACTTAATCAATAATAGTTTGATGGCAAGGATAGCATCTTATTGCGTTCTATAAGTATAGTTTTTTTTTTTGACAATCACTATAAAAATGACTTACTGCTTAGTGCTAGAAATTAAGAGAGAAATAAGACAGCATCATCAGCTCTCAAATGACTGAAGATAGCATTGGAAACTACATCTCTTAGCAATTTCTCTCAGTAGCTTCTGAAGAGTATTGTGGAGACACAGAAGAGAAAAGGACTAACCTTGTTTATGTTTGGGGAAGATTTGGACAGAGGGAACACCTGCCCATAGGGCAGACATTAAACACAAAGAAAAGTTCTGCTTTGCTGAGTGCACACAGCTTTGAGATGCTTTTCCTCTTTCCTTGTCATTGACTCTCTCGGTGGTCTTGATCAAGTCTTGCTTTTTTTATTCTCCCATCAAGCTCTAATGGGAGATAACAGTCACTTTTCTAGCCCTATCCACTTCATGATTTCACTGCCACAGAGTACAACTCTTTGTGAGAAATAAAGTATTATAGTTCTTTGAGAATCAGTCCCACTAGAAGGGCAATGAACTTTTTTTTTCTTTCCATGTCTTGAGAATTTAAAAGGATGGAATAATAAAATTCAGGTATCTTATTATAAATATATAGCAGTAAAATAACAGGTAGTAAATCAATATGTCAGAAACAAATTTCAAATAGCAGAGTCAACAACACACCTCCAATACTAATAAAGGTTGAAGAAAAGCTTTGAATTCTAAATTGGAAAGAGCTAGTGGCCTGCATGGAGATTAGCATAGCCTCACAAGGCTTGTTGCATCTCCTGCTGAGAGAGAGAAAGTCGTGGAAGATATGAATTAGAAGCTACTCTTGTATTTTCTGGCATACCAAGCCCCTGCAGGATGGTGGAAATAACCTTGATTTGTGACTACACCTGCTTTCTTGGGCTGGTATTTTAAGGAGATTCTGGACTAGTCCAACTCTGTAACAAGAGGTCACAGGTATGGTGTAGGATACCTTAGGTTGGGTTTCTTAGAAGTAGAATTGAAGTAAGGATTTATTTGCATTGATTTATTAAAGGAGTGCTTTTAGAGGGAACCAGTAAAGGAGCAGAGGAAAGAAGGAAAAGAAGGAAGGCAAGCAAAGTCCCACAGAGGGTAGCTCTTAGCCTCATCCCACAGGGAAACTCTGAAGTATAAGCTATGCCACCATAAAGTTATGCCCCAAGGAAACCCTAAGGAATAGATAACGGTTTACATATTTCTGCATCTGGTAGGCTGCCCCAAATAGGGGGAGAATGTAAATTCTTAGGTACTCTGTCTTTTCTTGCTGTGAGCTGATGGAGCTCCAGACATCTGCAGACAGTTCTATTTGAGATGGTTATTGTATCAATTGAAGGCAAAGGGACACTGAAGGATGAGTGTACATACAAAATGGCAGAAGGGGATCTAAACAGATCTAGATGGAGCAAACTTATTATCTACTAAAGTGTGCTATTCAAAGGGGGTGATAAAATATCTTAACTCATAACCCAAGTAAAGAAATAGGAGTACAGAAAGTAACATGATGACATCCAGCCTGTTAAATGAAGCAAGGGTATGTTGGAGAAGGAAGCTAGGTGCTACCCACTGCATTCTAGAACAGAATCTGGTCCTTAATGAGAGTACTGAGAATGAGTTCAAGTGTCTCTCTCAGTAGACCATGAGTACATTCCATGATGTCCAAACCAGGATAAAATGTTCAAATCTAGGTTAGCAGCCCTCTGGGGTGAGGCTGAGTCACCAGAAAATGAAACTGGGCTTTTTAGGTGCCCTCCCAAGTCAGGCTTGTCCCTAAGCCTGGTCAGAAGAAGCCTGCAGCCCTGGCAATTGGGAAACAAGAGGATACTAAGATATTTCCTACTTACAGCTATTCACATTTCTAGGTTGAGAAATAGGTAAGGTGCCCAAAAGAGCTTGTGATAGAACCATATGCTTCTCTGTTATCTATATACAACAAATCTTCATGACTTGGATTTTATATTCATTGTTCCAAATTCATTTGCATTATTATCCTTTCTTTTAATTTCTATTTCTTCTTACGCATTACCAATACCCTATCTTGCTGATCTGAATATCGTTACGAGTGATTTTACAATATGTAAGTAAGGTCATCTATCTTAACTTTAGGATATTTATTCAGTCCCTATTTGTCTACTACTTCTAGATATAAAAAGTTTCATGTTAATCAACAATGGTGGGTTCAGAAATTATTCAGCTGTGGCCATTTCCCTTAAGGAAGACATCAACAGAAGTAGCTTTTTAGCTCCATCTAAAATAGAGAGCCAGGATGTCTTCTGGGGATACAGTGAGTAGGTGATTTAACAAAGATCCTCCTTAAAATAGGCTTGCCAGACAAAATACAGAATACAAATATTGCTTGTGACATAGTTATGCTAAATGTTATTTGTCTGTATTTTTGTTTGCTTAATCTGGTAACCATACAAAATGGTCTGATCATGCCAGTGAGTGCTTCTTTCATATGCAGGAAGTAGGGCTCCAGAGAGCTCACCAGTCAGTGGAGACAGGTATGGCTATGTGCTGGAGTAAGCTTAACCAAGGGAACTATACAGCCCTGCCCAGACTCGGATCCTAACTCTGCCAGTTACCACCTGAGGGTCCCTGAGCCAGGAATTAAGCTCTCTGAGCTCTTTTTCCTCTGCATAATGGGGACAATACAATCTACTTCCCAAAGTGATTATTGGATTATTAGATAGCAGATATTCAGAGAAAGGTAATCTCAGCTCTCTTGAACAACAGAAAATAAGCAGATATTCCTCATTAAAAACATCATTCCTTCAAATGAGAAGAGAAGGAGAAAAAAGCACCAGGCAGCATTTCTAAGCCTCCTTGGATTACAATTCAATAGAAAATATCATTTTGCCAAGGATGGCTGAGTGTGTTCTCCATCTCACAGGTGACACACTGCATAACTCTGGCAGGGGAAGTGAAGGTTACACATGGCCACAAATAATGTGACTCATGATGACCAAGTCACATTTTAGATTGGTGAGAGATGATCAACAGCCAGGTCCCCTCATAACCAAAATCATTTGTTCCAACAGTTATTTATTTTAAACTGCCTTGCTGCCACAGGAGCTTTGATTTCTAAGCTTTTCTACCTTAGATTGGTCTTTGGCAGTAAGTGTCACACATATGTCCTCCTTAGAAGAGGAGCCAGAAGCTGGTTCTCCGTTGGAGCATCCCCATACCCTCCTGTTACATGGTCCACCTATTTTTATGTATCCAGACCCACTTTGAGGTACTTGCCGAGGACACAGCAACTGTTAAGTCAGCATGCTTGTTTCTTACCTTGTAAACAATGTACAAATAGAGTCCAAAATTAGTATGCAAACTACAAAATAAAATGTTATTTTTATGACTGAAAAATGCAATGAACTGCACAAATTGATTATGGCAGAGCATATGAATATTCTTTTAGTGATGTTCTTGCTTTCCTAGCTCAATCAACAATGTTTCTTTCTTACAGCTGCCAAGGAAACAAACTTTCTCTAGACCTTTCAGCCATAGCTCCATAGCTGGAAGTTCTGATGTCCTTCCATGTGTGCATTCAGATAAATTGTTCACTTAAATGGTTTTCCACTGAGAAGTGGAATCAATAATAATGCAGAGTGCTAGATAGAGTCCCCTGGGACCCTAGAGAGAAAATTATTCTGTTACAATGAGGAGAAGGCAAAATGCAGAGTAGCTATGACTGTATTTATCAATTTGTTGTGAAAATGTTTATAAATATCAGGTAATGTATCAAAGGAATAAAGTATGACAGATCCCCCCACCAACTTCAGAAAGGTTATGTTCTGAAGGAAATAATACAAAGCAGAAAGCAAAAGGTATTTAAGATGGGAATACTCAATACACATCAAAATTCAAAGGTACATGTGATTATTCCCAGCGAGAAGGAATCAGTGAAAGTTTTTGTGGAGATATCATCTAGGGTAACACTAGTAGACTTTGTACATGCCATTGTGAGAAAGAAAGAAGAGAATATTTAAGATGTGTACACTTCTATTAGCAGAGGCATGGGTATGTGCATAAATAACAGAGTAGTTGTGTATTTGTGAAGGGACTAGTGAGAAAAATGGACTGACGTGGAGGTTGGAACCACAGTGTGTAGGCTTTAAATTCCAAGGTAAGGACTTTTCTCTTAATAATAGAGAATTGGCAATAAGGTCACACGGAGGTTTTGAACCTGAGAGTTAATATGAAAACTATGTATCATGCTTTAAGAAGACAAATCTGGTAACATCAGAGGGTGAGACAGTGTGGAGAGCAAGGAGAAGAGGTCAGAGCTGGCCAGGTCACCGAGGGCTATTCTTTATTCACACTCACGTTCAAGACTAATTAGACTTTGAAATCTCTAGAGAAACAGAACCAAGAGCTTCATGGGATTAGTGCTCAGGCTGAGAGGATCAGTAGTGAATCCTGCCGTGGATGTGCCGTGGCATTGTGGGAAAACAAGGTCATTGTGCAGACTGTTACCTGCTAACATCAGCTAGATTAGGAGATGACAAAAATGAATTATTTAATTTGGAAGAATTATTTTGGAATTTTCATATCAGTCTTATTTTTCCCCAGATAAGACTGATCTGAAAATGAATCAGTATTGATCTGATTTTATATTGATAATAAACATTTTAATTCTAAATTTTTAATCTGTTTTATACATTATCTGTTAATCTGATTAAAAATCCATATAAACATTTTACTTGCTAAATTTCATGTATGGGGATACAAGCAATGTCAAAGACCATTTTATCTTGGCTGATTTGTTGAGGTTATTCTGACCTGGGAGACATTTTTAAATCTGCCATTTATAAATGTGTCAAAATTGTGTTATAGAAAAGGAAAAAAAATTGTTTTAATTGCCAAGATGTATGTGCAATAGACATCCTTGAGCCTGCCTATATCTGGGATGCAGAGTTATCTTCAGAGTCTCAGCCACTGTCAAATGGGAGTGTTGATACCCATCCTGGCCTTCCCAGTAATTGTTGTGAGGATCAAAAAGTTAGTTTATGAGAACCTGCTCTGTACACTATAAAGGGCCATATAGTAAGGATTTGCTGTTATACAACATTGTCTCTATTTCCAATTATGTATTTGGTGGAGATGTTACAGAAATAAGTGGGTGTCCCTCAAGGAGAGAGAGAGTGATTGGGACACATTAAATGAAGAAGCTCCCTAGATAGGAGGCCAGTCCTTTCTACCGAATTTTCTGATCATGGGCCTGTTGGTTTATCAAAGCCAGGGAAGGGATCTGGGTAAGTGATGATACATAAATACAATAAATATCGATCAATGAATGAGAGAATCAATAAAAAAGGTACTTGATTTGCCAGTGTGGCTCCTTGTGAGACTTAGAAGAAAGCTTCCCTTCCTCTGGGTAAACTCAGCCTGAGTTAGTGTCCTGATTGGTGGGCAAGTGCAAGATGGATTTTCGTCCCACTTGTCTCCTTGGCTAGGGAACTGTGTGCAAGGTGCAACTTTCACAATATAGCATGTGAAATTATGATAATTAGCTGAGACAGAACTTCCACTGTTTTCCTTGAATGTAGACTCACAAGGTACTTCCCATATGCTATTCTCTTGCATCATTAGCTGTCTTTCCATGGCTGCCTACTATCCACATCTTGGGCAAAGGGTCTTGCACTTAATGATACCTCCATTGCCTGTTCATTGTCGAGACTCAACAATATATGCTCAATACATCTTCCTTTGGGGCCTGTTTTTCATGTAATATAATAAAAATACGCATTGTCAAAGCTCTTTTAAGTTATCCTTTCTTCATCCTCTTGTTCCCCATTAACATTCCGTATAACTTATACCAAGGCTTAATTTCAATTTAGACAGCAGATCATGAGAGGTGTCTCACTTGATAAATGGGAAGAATTTTGGCTCATGATGCAGCCAAGTTTTTTGAGCACATCTGGAAATCATATTAAAGAGGAGACCTTTTCCTGTTTTTACTCCCTGATGACTGAACTGGAGCACAGAGCAGGTGCTGCATGCCACACAAGCAAGAGGCAGGGATTTGCAAATAGGCAAGAGACAAAGCAATGGCCAGGTCAGGGAACATTTATTTTTAGACTGAAGAAAGCCTTTTGAGTGGGGATTTGTTTCTCCTTCTGTATATTTTAATGCCTGCCAAGTCAGATTGCTGCAGAAGCTGTGCTTTTTAGCTATGGGCAAAATAATCCTGAATCTCAAAAACAATGACCCAGAACTTAGAAAAGCACTTTTTATTCAAATTTATCTCTATATAAAACAATAGTAATGTAGTAATTCCCATTTATCAGGTAGATCATAGGCTTTTAAAATTCTTTGTCTTTAACATATCCTAAACCTAACGGGATAGATTCCATGATCTTCACTTAAAGAATGAGCCAACAGAATCTCATAAACTTACCAAATGATAGAGACCAACCTCAAATCCAGGTCTGTCTGGCCCCAGATCCTGCATTGTCTTCATTATACTTTATGTATTGGCTGCCATTCCGGATTCTATCAAGGTGCTTTTTCTGTTCATGTTATATCATTGATTTAATTGCCCCTTCAATATTTTTATTAGTTCTTAGACAAAGGCACAGACTTGTGGTGATTCTACCTGTTATTCAGAAATCCCCCAAAATATTGTTTTTGTCAAAGCAGTGACACTATCAAGCAACTAGTATCTAATTTTTCGTATGTAACTCTGATAGTCTTCCACTTATATGCTTATTGATAATCCTTTAATAACTACTCTGAATTTCTTATTCTATTAGAAACTTTGAGCTATACAAAGTACCTTATATGTTTCATTTTTAAGTTCACATAGGGATTGATTGAATAACTATAACAAAACCTTTGATATGCTCTTTGTTTATAAACTTTCTAACCACTCATTTCTACACTCACCTCCTCCTTGACATAACACAATAATATGGCTAAATCAGAAATAAGAAAAAGGTAACATTTGAGCATAGTAATATAGTATACACTTAATCATGTTGAATTACATCTTTCTACACTATTAAACAAAATTTGTCAGAAAATAGTTTCATGTCAAATTAAATAATTCTGTTTGCATTAACAGCTGACTCTATTAAGCTCACAAATTAAAAACAGCAGTATTAATAGACAAAAGGGATCAGGACAGATGGGAGGCAGGACTACATTGCAGCTCTGACTTGGACAGACGTAGGAGTATGCGGAGGCTTTCATTATGAGTTTTTGCTCCAGACTGACTGTAGGAATAAATCAGGAAACCTGGGAGGATCCACAGACTCCATTTCTCTAATGACCGGTGACGATGAGCTTTTTTTCATATGTTTATTTCAAATGTGTTCTTTTGAGAAGTGTCTGTTCATATCCTTTGCCCACTTTTTGATGGGGTTTGTTTTTTTCTTGTAAATTTGTTAAAGTTCTCTGTAGATTCTGGTTATTAGCCCTTTGTCAGATGGGTAGATTGCAAAAAATTTTTCCCATTCTGTTAGTTGCCAGTTCACTCTATTGATAGTTTCTTTTGCTGTGCAGAAGCTTGTTAGTTTAATTAGATCCCATTTGTCTATTTTGGCTTTT